GGCTCTCAGCCCCTGCTCTGGTTTCTCTGCATTTCGCTGGACGCTGGTGAGCGAGGTCGGGCCTGTGCGTTGGCTGCTCGCGCCGTTGCCTTTCCAGGCACGCTGCCAGGTGCCTGGGACGTCTCGAGGGACTGAGACGCGTTGTGGGAGCGGTTCTCGGCAGCGGATATATATCAGGTTTTCCCAGTTTTCATAAATGGCGATCTGTGAAGCTTTGCGTGCTTCGTGAATACATACATCTCTCTTTTTCTCAAAAAAGACCGTTTGCACAGAGTAATTTTTATCTCGTGATTGTGGGAAGAGGTAGTGTGCGAAATGCATGTTTACGTTTTGAAAGTCAGAATTTACTTTTTTTATTTCTTTTTTTCTTTTTGTACTTACTTCAATTTCTTTAAAAGTATCTTTGTAAATAATGTTCATGTACCTTTAACGATGTTTTAATATTCAATATTATTTTAGCCTCTTATCTGGTATCAATGGAGTATAGCATGCGGACTAGCTCTCAAAGTGCTGCTGCTGAAGACCCGCTTGCAAATTTACAGTCACTACAGGATCAGCTGACAAGAACTGAAAAAAAACTACAAACCGTAGAGGAAGAACTTTGCAGGTATGAGTGTGTTTGGGAATGAGAACAGCCTATTTCGTGTGGTGTAAATCTGTCTTATTCAGTGTAATGGTTTATTGCAAGTAGCTCCTTTTGTGCCTTTATATTGAATGTTCTCTATGAGTGATTAAAAAATTTTAAACAAAAAATGGCATATCAACTTTTTACTCTTCATCCTAGCACTAGTACAAGTGAACATTATGGTGACTGCTTCGATGAGGCTGTAGACTTTACTCTGGAGGACCTTGTTCTGCCTATTTCCAACTGTATGAAGAATGCTGGTAAAACGTATTGCCAGAATTTTCAAACAAAACCTGAAGTAAATATTACACTTCATTACTTACTTGTTTTACTTTTGTTTTCTCTTCTTATGTTTATGAATCCATTTTTTGCTTTTAGGGGTTGGAGTTGATGCACTCTAGCACTGGGCCATCATATTACAGAGCACTCTTAAACACAGTATGATTTAATAAATTTGTTCTGTAGAGTTTTCGTTGATGTGTATATTGCTTACATATGCATATATAAGTGTGTTTATATATGTGTATATCTATACACACATATATATAAACTTGTGTTATATTTAGGCTTATTCAGTATCCACAACTTCGAATACAACTGTGGAAGAAAATGTTTATCTTAAGGAGAAGCTGGATGCCCTTCGTGAGCAAAATGCGTATTTGGCTTCTCAGAACCACTACCTAAAGCACAGAGTGGAAACAATGAACTTCGAATTGACACAGTCAAAAAGAAGAGTATGTATCTTTCTTGTACTCATCATAAAGAAAAACAAACCCCAAACTCAGTAAGACATGACTTTTGAGTCTGTAATTCCAAACAGAACATGCTCTTTTTATGTCTTGATCTATCTAAATTTAATATTTAAACTTTAAAGCTTAATATTCTAGTTTGGTTTTTTTTTTTTCCCATAATGTTCAACATTAGTATTGGAACAGAATAGTTTGGGATCTATTTCTCCATGAGCAAAACAACTATATTATGAATTTTATTCATGTTTCAAAGTTTAATCTAAGGCCAGCAAGTCACAGAATAAGGAATACATCATGTAAGAAGAATTCAGTGATGTATTTAGTACTGTACTTTCATGTGTCTACGCTACGTTAATCTTCATCTGAATAATAATGGCACAGCAGTCTGTTGTTGAGGAAGTGGAAAATGCTGACCTTTTCAGGTTGGATTGATATTACTATTTTGAAAAAGTGAAGGTGAGTTAGAAGGAAATGTCTAATAAATCATTACTGATTTAATATACACCTGTATGTACAGGCTTTTGCAGGGCAACAGTATGCATGTATTTGGTTTATATGTAACATTAATAAAACATAGCTGTGCCTAATGCTTTTTGTTTGAGAAATGTTATCTCCAAGATGGTACAAATAAATAGATTGAAAATAAGGTTTGACTGTCATGGGAAGAACAGATGGCAGTATATAAACTGGTGGGGAAAAACAGGAAACAGGATCTACATTTAAAGAAATCACTCTGCTAGACAGCATATCACACTGGAATGATGCTAGGAAACTGTAAGGATGTTAAATGAGCAGAAAACTAGAGGTCAATTTGTGTAGATGAACAAGCATCTTCTGTAGCAAGGTGAAGAGCGCCGTGTCATTCAGTAAGCAGATTGTTCTTATGGGTCTAACCTGAAGGTATATGTGCTAGTGTTAATGAAAACCTAAATGTGCTTGTATTCCAGATTTCTTATCTTGAATTGACTTTAGATACACATTCAGTCAGCATTCCGAAGTTAAAAGAACAGATTGTAAACCTGGAAGCAGAAGTTTCAGCTCAGGATAAAATTCTGAGGTAATGGGTGTACTTCTAGATCAATATTTTACTGTGGTCTGCTTGCTAGTCCAAGCTCTTTTTCAGGATAATTGCTGGTACTGTGTGCATTGTGTAATTGGGGACTCGAAACTTTCATTTCGGAGACGTGTGTAGGAGGAGAGAAGGGTTTTATTTTGTATTTCTCTCATATATGGGGAATATACTTTAGGAAATAGAAAAGAAACAGTAAAGGCTAGTAAAAGGAAACAGTTTATAATAGATGCTAAACGTGAATATGCCCTTGTAACTTACTTGAGTGATTGTATGTTACATGACTGGATGTCTTCAGCAGTAAACAAGCATACGTATTTTCAAACGTGACTTTGCAGCATATAGTGTAGAGGGTCCTTTCTTCATTAATATATTAATCAAGGCAAACGGCCAAATAAAACTAATGTAAACAGTGTCCAGAGGCTGTTAGGAGGACATACTTTATCTTTGTCTCATACTATATAATATTCAGTTAGTATCTCAATAGTCTGTGTTCACAAAACAAGTAAGAATACTTATATTTATGTATTATTTATTTATTTTCTTTACTATATTAGGTAATTAACTTCTGTTTTAGCAATGTTTCCCACGTGGGTATCCTAACCTATTGCCAGGAAAATGGCGATTTCTGTGTTCAGATCTCGTGACACAAACTCTGAGTCCTTGGCAGTCATGACACCTGATGCCTATTGATGAGGTTCGAGACCGGTCCAGGCTGCAAACATACTGCTGGGGAGTCTGAAGACAGTGGTTGTTCCAAAACGACTTTTGAGAGTTGCAGCGTGTTTGACTAGCACTCCCAAACGTCTTGTACGGAAAAGAACAGCAAAAATGTACTTTCTTTACAGAAAATTCCTGTTTTTTAATTTTGCTTTGTTTATTTGCTAGAGATGCAGAAGATAAACTAGATCAAAGCCAGAAAACAGGAATGGAAAGAGAAAGCATGTTGCAAAGATATAAAAAGGACTATAAAAATCTGAAAATGGAGTTAATTGAACAATGCAAGCAAAGAAAGAGGTAGCTAAGTCCTTTTAATAAACTGAATACAGAATAATAGTGCATAAGTGTTTATTTCCATTGGCAGGTGTTTTCTTTGTGGAATGAAATTATTTCTCTGCTTTATGAATGTTATTTTTTTTAAAAATGGGGAAAATCTATGTGAAGATACTTATTATTTAAATAGGCGCTTTTTAAATCTTGAAGTTTGCTAGGAGTTGCAGGCTAATATCATACAGTAGTAACCAGTTTATCGCGTGGTTTTTCCCCCTACAGAATAGATGTACTGCAGTGGAGAGCTGAAATGTGCCCAGAATATGTTTTTCCTTAATTGTTTGTGACTTTGTCTTGCAATAACCTACAGCATATGCTCAGTATTCATCAGTAGGTTGGTGTGGGGAAAGTGATAGAAGCACAACTGAACTGACAGAACATTTTTATGTTATCCTTAATCTTACCTATCTATATAAACAGTAATTGCAACCAGTTACTATTCTTTCGTCAGAAAATGCAAGTGCTTTAGACTAACACTGTTTTGATTGTTACTCTGAAATCCCTTTATCTGAATACTTTTGCTGTCTGCAAATGGGGAGTGGTCCTCAGACTGAAAAACACCAATCTCAGTGTGGGGTCTACTTACATGAGGCGCTTGCCCCCTCCTCACAGTTCCCTTAGTGGAAGAGAAACAAATACTGAGCAGCGGTAGTTCTTGTGTGTCTGTGTTGTGTGTCCTGAACAAACTGCATACCTGAGCTCTCCCAAGGTTACTGTTCCAACTTCTTCCCTAGTGAGTAATGATAGGGGAAAGTGGGAAAGGGGCAGAAGCACGAGTAATAGAGCGCAAGAGTAGTCAGTCTGGGTTGCTGCTTTGAACAGTTGCTCACTTGATACCATCCAAGTCTCAGCTTCCTTTACTATTATTGATGCCCTCTCTCCAGTACCCCCAAAGAGTTTATCCTTTGATCAGTTCCTGCCAGTCTCACCATAATTCCATCATCAGAGCTCCCTTCAATATCAAAATCTTTTCCAGTTCCCCTTGAGCAGTTTGAATTTTAAGCAGCACTGCTATCCTCTGCTTCCTTATCATACATGCTATCCCAGTCCCTAAAGCAGGCTTTTGCTGGTGGACAGGAGGATGATTTGATTCCTCTTCAAAAAGTTTAGATCAAAAGTGTTTATTTTTACATTCTTATCTAGGGTTTGGAAAATTGAAAGAAGAAAGGAAGCTACCTGGAGCAGTTAATTTAGTAGCTGTTTTTAATAACTGGAGGAGATAAGTTACGTAACTACGGAAATTTGCATTTTTAAAATTGGTGTGCTTCTTTACAGAGCAGAACAGCAAAGAAATGCAGCTTTGTTGAATGCGGAAGAGCTGACAAGGGCTTTCAAAAAGTATAAAGAGAAAATAACTGAAAAGTTAGAAAAGGTGAGATTGTTTTTCTTTGCTTTTAGTAGCCACACTATTAGTATTTTGCTTCTCCCACTAAGCTGGGCAGCAAACAGTAACAAGTTCACCAGTGGAACAATTGTTTCTGCTTGCTCGTGGCAAAGTCTGGACAGTCTGCATCTTTAAGGTATTAATACTGCTGCTGTTTCTTATGTCTCCTGCTTGCCAGCTGGGAATTTTACCTTTTAAGTATATGATTCTTTTAGAAGAACTCTTCTGACTCAGTCTGTATAATCTGTCCCATGAAACATGAACTGGAGAAGAGCTAAGATCAAAATGAATTTGTCTCCCAGAGTTCCAGCAGCCAAAACTTTCAATACTTCCTGCCCTGTGGGAGGAGAAAATAGTCTTGAGACAGTTAGCTCTCAGAGAATTTTTATTTGATCAGATTTCTTTCCTTGTGAAAGCACATTGCTCACTTTTGTGAGAAAGAGAGGGACAAAGAAGTTTTCCTTTTTTCTGTCATTTGGGGGTAAAATAGTAATATTCTTTTGGTTTAATGTTTTAGGGCATATTTGTGGTTGGCAATCTACAGGCTTACCATAAAGAAGAAAAGAAACATTATAGTGTTTATAGTGTTCTTTTTTAAAAAGCCTGTTGTTTAGATTATTGTTATATAGTAACAAAAAATTGCTTTTTAAGGTTAAAGCTGAAGAAGTAGTCTTGGGAAAACGTTTAATCAATTTTGAAAAAGAAAAAGAGAAGCTGAATGAAAAGTGTGTCAGCTACAGAAAGGATCTAGATATCCTAGAAGAGCAATTAAGGTAATGCAAAGGGTTTTAAAAGTTTCTGTACAGTTACTGGGGAAGAATTTGCATTGTTACAACTGCAGTGTGAACGTGCTGATCAATTAGTGTAGTTCAAACCAAATCAGGACCAGCATCAGTGAACGCTTAGGATCCTGAATGCAACAGACAAACCATAACGCTAAACAGGTAAAAAATGTTAGCACACACTTACAAATTTCTAAATGCTTTTCTATAACTAATCCTTAAAAGTTCTGATCCCACACACTGCAACATATTCACAGTAACAAGCAACACCCCACCAAGCCTTCTGTGAGCTGTCATGGTTTAACCCCAGTCAGTAGCTAAGCACCACACAGCTGCTTGCTCACCTTCCCTCCCCCCTAGTGGATTGGGGGAGAGAATTGGAGGAAAAAGCTAAAAAAACCCTCATGGGTAGAGATAAGAACACTTTTTAATAATTGAAATAAAATAGTGATAGTAATAATACTGATAAAAATATATAATGAAAAGGAAAAGAAAAAAGAGAAAACTCAGGGTGGAGGGAAGAACAAGTGATACAACCGCTCACCACTTGCCAACCAACTGCCCAGTCAGTCTCCGAGCACTGATCATCCCCCCTGGCCAACTCCCCCAGCGTATATACTGAGCATGACGTTTTATGGTGTGAAATATCCCTTTGATCAGTTTGGGTCAACTGTCCTGGCTGTGTCTCCTCAGCTGCTTGTAGAGGAGAAGCTGGGAGGACAGGGGCAGTATGAGAAACTGAAAAAAGTCCTTGGCTTAATGTAAACGCTGCTTGGCAACAAGTAAAACAGTGTTACCAACGTTTTCGGCAGAAATCTAATGCGTGGCCTCATACTAGCTACTATGAAGAAAAAAGGGTTTGTGAGCACCCTGGCCCTAGTTTGAGCCTGGATAATAGCTGGATTCTGCTGATGGGAGTCTTTCCTCTAGATGCCCTCTTCTCATGCTGACTTGCACTCCTGATGAGTTTGGCACTCGTTAGGACCTTTGCCAAGCTAATTCAGTTTGCTAAATCAACAGGTGTTAAAGTGCATAATTTATGATGGGCTGAAAGTACAATTGGCTCACGGTACAGTCAGATATGAGAGGAGAGAAGAAGTAGGACCTATCCCTTGCATAATTTATGATGGGCTGAAAGTACAATTGGCTCACGGTACAGTCAGATATGAGAGGAGAGAAGAATTCTTTCTTCCCTTCTATCCCTTTCTTGTTAGTAGCAGAGTGCTAGACTAGCTCGGTCTTAGTATGTTATGTTCATCCACTGTCATTTTAAATATAGCTATAAAATTATTTTATCCTGTTCTTAAATTTCCTTGACTTCAGCACAGCTGAAGTCACCTTGATCTATTTCCTTCTAGATTCCTACTATTTTCCTGATAGTGCTTAAAAGTTTATTAAGTCGTTTAAGAAGGAGAAATGGCTTATTTTAACCTTTTTTTTGGTGATAGCAGTTTGCATCTTGGTCTTTAGGAACAGTGAAAGCTTAGTAAAGCAGTGAAAACCTTTGTCCTTTGTATAGAGCTAATCCTAGGTCTTGAGAGGGAGGAAACTAGTAAAGCAGTATAGTTATGGTGTGTTCTTCTAGTACTTTTAATAACCAAAATCCTAGTCTACTTGTGTGTTATACCTTTTAAATGGATATACTTTTTTAAAGGCAACTAAAGGAAGAGAATCTTAGTACAAAAGAGAAAATTAAGACTCTGGAAGCCAAGAACACTGAAATGGTATCAATGCTGACTCGGTCTGATCAGAAGATCATTGAACTTGAGAGTGAACTTAGTGAAAAAGAAATGGTAATCAAAGAGAAAAATGCTCTAATAAGTGAAAATGCAGAGCTGAGAGCACTTACAGCACAACAACACAATCGCTTAAAATTGTGCCATCAAGAAATCGAAGATTCAAGGAAAGAGCTCAACATACTAGAAACCATTATTTCCCAGTTGTCTCTAAGTACATCCGGAGAGGTACAGTGACTGATACATCCTTGCAAGTTGTATTGTGTGTCTTAAACGATTCTGACATGGCATGGAAATCCTGTGATGTTCTTGAGAAATAACGTGAGAAAAATAGCTTTGATTTTCAAGATGTATGGGTGAAATGTGTTCTTAAAGTATTTAACTTTTGTCTTCTCGCACAAGAGCTAAGAAGAGGTGCTTTGGAATTGATTGATTAATTTAAAATTACACTTGCCATTCCTCTGTTCTGTGTACTGATTCTTCAGATGTAGGTGTATTCCCTAAAGCATGACCATGTCCTGTTATGAGATGCTGAGGTGGTGCTCTGTGGACCGTATGACACTTGGATATGGCAGACAGCGTTGGGTCAAACAGAGTCTCTGTCAACCTCAGGGATAGAAAAATTATAGCAGGAGAGATGTTTGTAGGAACTTTCTTGTGCCGGGAAAGAGAAGGCATGCCTTCCCTGACTGCGGGTGAACTTTTGTTTTACCAGGGTGAACGTGGGCTGCTTAGCCTGAAGCTTGTACTGCTGAAGTTTATCACTAGGCTGTGTTTAGGAGAGTCGTGTAAAACCTTCAAAGTTGTGAACTGACTGGGGTTACTGGAGGAACTGTTTGGGAAGTCAGGAAGGGCTAGCAAGACATATGAGGTCAGGAGTGCAGATTGCATGATAGATCTTTATTTTTGAAGTATAAATGTGAGTAGCTGTAATGAAAACAAAACTAAAAGTATGCTTTCTGTATGATTCTGGAATTGACAAAGTGACTTTCTGAAGAGCATGTAGTAATTTTGTATAAAAATTATGTTTTGGGCTGTTGTGACCATAGATATATATTTGGAAAAGCCTCAAAAATTGTTTTATGGCCATTTTTTTGGAAAATACATTTACATTACACTGGGACTGGTACGGTTAGGGGACACACAGGGATCAAGTGCACCCTCAGGAAGTTTGCAGATGACACCAAGCTGAGTGTTGCCAGAGGAATGGGATGCCATCCAGAGGGACCTGGACAAGCTTGAGAAGTGGGGCTATGTGATCCTCATGGGGTTTAACAAGGCCAAATGAATAGTCCTGCACCTGGGTCAGGGCAGTCCCTGGTACCACTATGGGATGGTGGATGAAGGGGTTGAGGTCACCCCTGCTGAGAAGGACTAGTGGGTGAAAAGCTGGACATTAGCTGTCAGTGTGTGCTCACAGCCCACAAACCCAACCGCATCCTGGGCTGTGGCTGGTGAAGTGTGGCCAGCAGGTTGAGGGAAATCAATCTTCCCTTCCGCTCCACTCTGGTGAGACCCCACCTGGAGTATTGCGTCCGGCTCTGGGGACCACAGCATAACAAGGATATTGATGAGTTGGAGTGGGTCCAGTGGAGACCATGAAGATACTCAGGGGGCTGGAGTACCTCTGCTATGATGAAAGGAAGCATGATGTGAGAAGTTCAAAATGTGGAATTAGTGGTAGTATCTCATTTATTTAATTTACACAGCAATAACGTTCATGCTTCAGTACCTGTGCAGAAATATCTAAAGGATTGGCCTCTGTTTCAGGGGGCCTTAACACCTATAATTCCTGCTAATGTGAGACAAACCTGTAGTGCTCTGCAAGCACTTACTCAGGAGAACAATTTTAAAGGTCAAGTTATCCAAACTTCTAACATCCTAGCTTATGTGTCTTAACATTTATATGCTAGTATAACACATCAATTAGTCATGCTGTGGAGCAATAAAAAATCAATTTTGCATTAATCTTGGTTTTCCCTTAACTTTTAGTATAAATGGCATCACTTCAAAGACCAGCTCTCCAGTTCCTCAACGAAAGCAGCGCTCTCTGAATCTTGTTGTGAATCAAATGTACCTTTGATTGCAGATCTAAGGTATAACTTTCTGGTTACTGAATTATGGCATTATAGGCAGATAATGAGGTGGTATTAGAACTAGCTTGTAGAAAGAACGTTAAATAATTGTCTCTTCCTTTATAATAGCGTTAAACTGGCAGCGAAAGAAGCAGAAATTCAAAAGCCTTGTACAAACTTAACTGTCTGCAATGGAGCTGAGCATCTTTCTAATGATAGCGAAGGACAAGATAGTATGTTATATGGCCTGGAAAGAGAGCCTGTGAAATTGATGAGAAGTCAAGGAGGTAAGCCTACTGAAATAGTTGTGCAGTTCTGTCTGATTAATCCACAGAACAGAATTTTTTTGGTGGTCTTTTGGTTGGTTTTTATAGTGATTTTTAACTGTGCCTCTGTGAGCTAACAGATACGATTGGTTGAACAGGGAGCATTTTGTCACCTTGGAATTCTGGGAGTTGTCACGTTTTCCAGGCACAATATTCTTCCTTTGGCTAGTTAAATTATCTGTTCAGCAATGTCCAAGCTTTGATTTGTGTTGAAATAGAACCATGTATTTTTCTTCATGCTGGTTAGGCTAAGGTCTCCATATTTTCTTTGAATCTTTTCTTGTATACTGCTGTTGCCTAATTTCTGTGATTACTCTTAGGACTGCTCCATGAAATTACTTCAGGGCACCTCTATAACGATGGTGTCTTCAGGGTTTTTTGGTTGGTTGGGTTTTTTGATGTATGTTTATTTTCAAGAGTTAGAGCTTTCAGTTACATTACAGGGGAAACAATGAAGAGTCTTGTGCCTGAACACTATGTATGTTAGTTCAATATGTTGTCATTAAATCATACTCTTTCTCTGGTTTGTATGATTATTTGCTTGAGTGCTGGTTTGTATGCTCTTTTATAAATTTGTTTTGTGTGTGTACTTTGAGAGAGAAGAAAGTGTCAGCAGTTGGAATTTATCAGCAATCAATTTCAAAAGGAGAGGGGAAGATTCCAGGAAGAGATAGAAAAGTTACGCACTAAACTGACAAAAGCGGATGACGAGAATTCTTCTTTGAAGACCAGCATGGCTCAGAGGGCCAGTCAGTTTCAAATCATACAGGAAGACCTATTGAAGAAGGCTTCAAAAACTAGAAGCTTAGAGAGAGAAGTAAGTTTTTAATAGCTCTGAAAAAAAATGTCACTTCTTGTTTAGTTCAGTAATCAAAGATAGTTAAGTCAATAGTTACAGAAAAAACTGCAATTGCCACATTAACTTTCAAATCTGGCTTATTTAAGAAAAATTCAGCTAGCTCTTCTCTGGTTCAGTAAGTTAAAATGCTAATGTTTACATTCTTACGTTTAGGTGTTTATAGAATTGCAGCATAATGGGATTTGCAGTATTTCCTAATAATGGCCTTAGATGTTATAAATCTGTAATAGCTAATTAACTCATATGGAACTGATAATTATAATGATTTGGATAATTTGAGAAATTGTCCTGAATTCTTCTCTGTAAGTAAAAAAAGTTTAATAGATTATATAAAATTAAACAAACAAACAAAGAATTCATTAAAAACACTAGGAAACAGTAGCTATAAAATGGTATTAGTGGTAAGAAAGTATATACAAATACTTTCATAAACCTGTCTTCATGCTGGTTTGTGCCTTATTTAATTTCAGATAACAAAGAAATCTTCTCAACTTTCTGCACTTGAGAAACATTTGGAAGAAAAGACTATTGCTTATTCTGCTGCTGCAGCAAGATGTACTGAGTTGGAACAGGAACTCATGGTAAAAAGTTCTCAGTGAGAACTGCATTTATGTTAAAAGACATAAATGGAGATTGAAGTTTAAGTTCAAACAGTATTATTCCATGTATTCATATGAATAGACTTTCAGATCTGCAAAACAATCTGTGCAGGTTTTAGACAGTACAGGTTTTAGAAACTGAACAATGTTGCATCAGATAACGTCCCCTTTTTCCTGTTTTTGAACATGGTAACTTATTAATGGACACATTAGTTACTTTTTCCTTGTGATGATATTTGCAATGAAAATCTGGTCCTATTGAAATCAATTGTAGCGTTGCTATTTGTTTCAGTGAGATCAGAATTTTATCCTCATTAGGAAAAAGTCAATATTTTCCATCCTTTGAGCTCTCTAAATCACTCTTTAATCCTCACTTAGTAAAATTACTTTCCCCCTCCCACTAGAAGAAAACTACTCCAGAAATGGCATAAACATGATAGGTTTGGTATATGGGATGAATAGGTTAGAATGTACTGTGGTGGCACTACTTCTTTTTCTGAAGTTCTCAAGTAGTTTTCCAAATGAATTTATTAGGGTAAGAGGTAACAGAGGTGGATTCCAAAAGTTAAATGGGACATTGGACAAATGACTTCTGTTTTTTTGTTGTTGTTTTTCTTAAACTGTGTATTTTTAAGAAATACGTGTAGACCTGTGAATAAAATGTCTTCTAAACAATAATAGGTGTAGAAGGTGTTCTAAGACATGGAGCACTGTGAATTCTAGACTGGGTATTGTCATATGAATGTTTTTAGTTTTGGGAAGGGGTTTAAGGTTGCTAGAAACTATTTATGTCATCCCTTTCAAATGGAAACCTGTATGTTAAAGATTTCGTCTGTCCATGTGAACAGAGAATTTCTTTTTATGTCAGAAGCTCCTTGCTCCAGTTGCTGTAATCTCTGGCAGTAGTCCACCCTGGCAGACACCTTGTCTCTGTGTAGGGGCTGCATTAGGTGGCATTCTACACCTGTATTGTAGGCATGACATCCTTTGAGATGAAACATGCTGTATTTAACTTCAGTATTTTCTGTGTTGTTTTTTATGAAATCTAGGAATTTGGTCATCAAATAAACCACTATTTAATATCACAGCTAAATGTTTTTATTAAGTCCTTTTTGTTGTGACTGTGTCCCAGGGGAAAAACAGACGCATTCATGAGTTGGAAACAACTATCGGGGATGAACACGAGCAAATAATTTCTGCTTTTGAAAAAGAAAAGTTGGTTCACCTTCAGCAGCACAAAGAGATGGAGAAACAGATTGAACTGGTGAGACCTTCCTTGTGTACTAGAATGTATGAGTGATATACTTGGTAACCTTTTTCCTATGTTAGTTTCTTTCTCTTTTTAGTAATTCTGGTGTGGATGTCCAGTTAAAAACTTATAATAACTCCTCGCTACAGTTCCTGGTATTTAGTTTATTTTCCATCTAACACTACACAATCTCATGATTTCCCTCTCCGGTGCTCATGTTCTTTTTTCTGCTCAACTGAAGAGAAATAGGGATTTAGGAAGAATGCTGCTGTTCATTGCTCCAAAGACCTAGCACAAAAAAAAAGAAACAGCATAACTTCTTTTTTGCCTTTTGGGGTTAAACCATGACAACTTCTAACAATATTCTCTTGGAGGCTGAACCTTTGCCAGCTTATGTACCTTGGCATTTTTGCATTTAGGGAGAACTGTCAGTAGGGATTTTCAGTCTTTAGAGAAGAATTCTGTTGCTTCATATAATTAGAGACATAACTGTGGCTATTTCTGGTGGTTCAAGAAGCTTGTCATCTTTTAGTAAAGAATGTGTGCATGTCTTACTGTCTTGGCTGGTGACAGACAATTACACTCTGCCTGCCCTCATTCTCTTGATTCTCCTGTGTATGTAAAATATTAAGGGTTTGGGATTTCTTCTTGTTTTTAAAAATGTGCAATACTGCTGATGTATTTACTTGTCATTCTTGAAGTGATGGGTGAATAGAACTGAATGACACATTTAGATGCACAAATTCTCTGACAAAATGTATTTTAATAAGTAACCATCAATCACTTACGGACAGCTTCAGGCACAGCTAGAGAAGAAACACCAACAAATCATTGAACAAGAGACAGCAATATCAGTGCTACAGCAAGATGTTATACATAAACAGCATCACATTAAATCATTGGATAGACTGCTGAAGGAAAGCAGAGAGGTAAGGTTTGCTCTTGACTTTCTCTCCATGCAGATCAAAAAAGTGACTGATAATAATGAAAAGCATATCCATGAACACGTGGAAAAAAATTGAGAAAATTGAAGATACTTATGTTCTTGCTTCTTGGTTCTTGTTTGAGTAGTTGACTGAATCTAGTAGTCTTCAGCTACAACTACTATAAACTGTACAGAGTTTAATGACCTTTTGTTATTTTATCTCAGTGTTCTGTTTATGCCTCTGCTTTGCCTCTTGGGCTTTTTGCTCTAATCAAAGGAAAGAAATCTGGCTAAAGAACAATTGCATCTTTTGCACTAGTTGGAAAACCAAGAATGTTCTATTATAGCAATGTTTTATTCCTTTGGATAAACTTCCTTCTGTTGCTGCAGAATATGAAAGGACGCTCATCAGGAACCAAATTCACCTCAAAGTATGAGGTATACAAATACAGTACACAAGCAACTGTGTTTTAAATACACTGATCTGGTTTTAGATCTGTTGTTGGTATGAGTTTTTGTTAGTTAAATTACTGTTACTATATTCACATTTTAATCTCTTGAATAAAAATGTGTGCAAACAGGAAATGGAAAATCAAAATGTTAGGAAAGATCAAGGATTGAAGATGCTGAAAAGTCAGTTAACAGAAGAAACAATCAAAGTTAGTAAGTTCTTTGTAATTTTCAATTAATGTTTTTACAGGTTGCAGTAATACTGTGTTTAGTTTTATCCTCTACTGAAAAACTGTAAGGCTGCTTTATAGGAATTTCTCTCACCTAAATATTGCAAAAGTCATTAACCTGAAGTCTGTAAGGTTTTTTTTTGTTTTGTTTCAATTAAAAGTTGTATGATGAAACCTGCAGTAAGAGATTATTCAATGCATAATTGCTTTATGAAATTACCATGGTTTCAAATAAGGCAGATATGTGCTTGTTGTACTCTTAAAGTAGAAAGTTGTCTAACAAAGATTATATAGGTTTTTGCTCTAGATACAACACATATTTTAGACATATGTGGTGACATACTATTGGTCATGTTTTTAGCCATCTATAACTCTTGCTAGTGTTTGCTTGTTGAATATTTTCCATGCAGCGCTTCCACCAGTATTTTAATAAACCAGAACCATGTGGTGGTTTAGCAGAATCGGGTTTTAAACAGTAATCCATCTTCAGGACATCACTAGGAAAACAAAGCGAGGACATAACTGTCAGCATGCTCTTTCTGAACTTGTGTTGGACCAGTTTTCTACCTGAGTGGCTTTGTAGTATTTGGGATGTTTTCCAGAGATGTAAAATTAAGAGTTCTCTTCAGAAAGCTCTTGCATTAATTAGGAGGAGAGGTATAAAATCCAGTATGGTTTGGAAAATTGGTAGGGTAGCATTAAAAGCGTTGGCCAATATGCAGCTAAATTCAGTACAATTCTCATTGATGAGAAGAGTCATTTAGCATTGAAGCCAAACAGAAGTTTAATTACTCTGGCTTAAGGTTTGTTTATTATAATTTTAATGTGTTTGAGGTTATAAGATATTTGTTAGAGATTACTCAAATACAAATTAATAGAAGAAGGGTAAAATAGATGAACAGTGGTGACATTGCTGAAACCTTCTCCTCTCCCTTTTGGTAGAACTCAGGCACTGTCTCTCAGTGCAGAAAGGGAAAAAAATGCTGTTTAGTAGCTTTCTGAGAGGATTTGTGTTAAGAACCAAATGTCGTTTTTGACAAAGACTTGTCACAACTCACATGATTATTCCAAATTTCTTTAAACAATTCTATGTCTAATAAAATGTGGTAGATTGATCATTTGGTATTGGGTAGATGTTTGCTTTTAAATTCCAGTTACTGACAAATATTGGAGTGTCTTCTCATAACTGATAGTCTCATCTGTTTTAAACAGTCTGAAGTGTTGTAATTTAGTTTCACAAACAATTTTAATTTCTGAACACTATTTCAGTTTTAAAGTTTATCACAATCTTCCGTACCTGCTGTAATACTTTTTAGGTAAAAATGTAGCTTTTCAGACACTTTACACAAAGATATTTTTTGACACTTTTTTAGACTAGTTGATAAAAACTATGCCATACAATTTGAAATAATCTATTACATTCAACTAGGTGAGACAACTTGAGTCAGCACTAGACATACGTAAGGAAGAAGTTACCCTGTGTTTGAGTCAGTTACAAGAAAAGGATATATTTGAAAACCAGCTCAAAAAAAAGTCTGAAGAGGTAACAGCTTGTTTTAACATCTCTTCTGTATTGCAGAGAATACATGTTATGAATGATTTGATCTAAAAGTTTGTCTGAAAAAAGAGACAAAATATTTGAATGGTTCACAGGAACTGTGAATAGGAAGTAAGCTGGGAAATGTCTATAGGTTTTGTGAGAGGAAAGGGGAAAATCATAACTAAAAAAACTAGATAAGCTTAAAGAAAAGCAGTACCAAGGTAAATGAATTGTTGAAAGAAGTAACAAAATCAGTATTGAGTGAAAGAAAGCATTATCTTGGAAAAAAAGAGAGAACGCTGTTGCAATATAAACTTAGATGCACAGAATTGATTTCTGTTTCAAGTATCTTAATGGGGAACAAGTCCTGGGTATAAGAAATTTTTTCCTTCAGGATTCTGAGTTTTTATAATACTTTCCAGCACTACATGGAAGGAAGAAAGAATTAAGTTTAAATATTATTAATATGAATTTTTATTTGTGAGGATGACTGACTACGTGGACTAATAATCATGATAGGCTGTTCACGTCAGTGCTTCCCTACCTGCTTGAAGAGAGGCTTTTGTCAACTGGAAATAGCCAGACCCTTTGTGGAGTAACTGGATGGAAATCTCTGGTCTGTGTTGCGATATTGACTGCTGCTTTCTGAGCCCTAAATCTTTGGTTCTTATGCTGCATATGAAGAGACTGGATGCTGTGTGGAACTCAAGGGAAGCAAATGAGGTTTTACAATTGTGACCAATGTTTTCTTAAGTGACAGTCACTACTTCCACTTGGGGTTGAATGGTTAGTGTTTGTGTTTTGTTTTGTTGGGGTTGCTTTTTTTCCCCTTCCCCCGAAGATTTGTAGCATTCATCACTGAGAAATCACATGTTGAATGGTCTGATAAGTCAGGCACTCGAATTCCTGTTTCTTCTCAGAATTACTATTGTCATAGAGGCAGGAAGAAGTAAAGGAGAGGACTGAGAATAAGATCTCAAGAGTAAAGCAGGGAGTTTCTGAGAAATAAAGAGTGTCAGAAAGAAAAGTTTTGCAGTAGTTCAGTTATGAAAAATCTCATGTTAAATGTTTTTTCAATATTGACCAGTTTAGGCATATTTAGAAAGCAAGATATCAAGTAATAATTTACTTCTTTCCTCACTTTATAAAGCACAACTTGGTGATGGATTATGAGATATGTACTGTTGAAACTGCAATGCAACTAAATTCGGGGCCATTTGTGTGGTTCTGTGCTTGTTAAGAATGAAGAGAATAGCTGATGCCAGTGCAAATAAAAATGTTCTGTTGTAATGGGATATAAATGTGTTTCAGGTTCATTATTTAAAGAAAGAAATAAAACTAAAAGATCAGAATATTCAGGACACAAGTGAACAAAATATTCTCCTGCAGCAAACTTTGCATCATCAGCAGCAAATGTTACAGCAAGAAACTATTAGAAATGGGGAGCTGGAAGATAATCAAATTAAACTTGAAAACCAGGTACAGTGTGACAAGAAGTGTCTACACAAAGACAGATAATTAAGTGGGTTTATGTGGCTTTTGTAATACCTTTATAATCTGAATTTTTCTTTGATAACTGAGTTGATAATTATTTTACATACATCTAAACCAGAGTTTAGTGGTTTGTTTTGTCTTAAACCAGGTTCTGTGCTATCAGAAACTAGCTAGTGTTAGAGTGGCTAAGTACGTAGAAAATCAAACCCTGGAGTACAATTTAGGAGTGGTGTATTGAAATTCACCCAAGTTTAAATTGTTGCAGTCACTAGAAACTCTTTCAAATGTGACTGCAAAGTTCTAGTCTTAAATTGTATAAAATTGTAGACTATAAGGAAATATGTTGTGTTGCTGTGTGAGTTGCAAGACAAGGATGTATTTTTCTTTATGTAATTTAAAAGTAATAACACTTTTAAAATACTATTTTACATAGGTATCCAGTTTGGAACAAGAGCTTCAGAAGCAGAAAGCATATGCAGAGGATGAGTTGAGAAAGGTAAAGGAGGAACTTTGCCTAGCTGCTCAGGAAGCAGATTTAAACAGACAGAAGGTGGATGAACTTAATAGTACAATCAGGTAGGTTTAGAATAACTGAGAGGTATATTCTGCAAATAGACACATCAGTAAGAGAGATTGCTGTCTGAAATGGTATTCAGCTGTTTAGTCTCTGTATGAGCATAGACTGGAAATCAGAAGGGCAGTTTCTCAGTAGCAGAGGCAAGAGTTTATAGAACAGTCTTCCAATGGAATTAATGCATGTCCTGTCAACCTTTTTAGTATTAAGATGGCACTTCATAATGAAATTCAATTCATAGATATATCGTTACTCGTAAATCTGAATGGATACTAGGAGAGCTTGGGAGTCTTAAAGAATATGACTTTGTGACAAAAGCCTGCTGATTGTGACTTTAATTCCTATTTTATTCACAAATGCTTGTTGTCTTGGAGCGAGTAAGGGCATACATATGTTGCTTTTATTACTACAAGGTTGGTTTTGTTCTGGTTGCTTCTCTACAGACAAATTAAATTGGAATTGAATCAGTGCAAGAATGAACTTCTTGGTATGGAAAAAGAAGTAGTGCAGTTAAAACGAGATGGTGAAGACAAAGCAATGCACATAAATCAGTTGGATATTACTTTGGAAGAAGCACGATCAGAGCTCAATGAAAAGACAAATGAAGGTAAATTTGCTTTTTTGTTACTTTGGGCTTCCTTTCCTCATGCTACTTCTCTGTATGTATTAGATTAGACATTTTTCCTTTTCCCCCTGTTTTGTAATCACGTACACGAGTCAAAACATAATAATTTTTTTCTAATGTGTTGGTAAAGAAACCTCACCAACCTAACACCGTCCCCTCCCCCAATCCCTGAAAAGCATAAACTTTTTTTAACGTACCTTTGCAAATTCTCACTTTTGTGGGCTGTACCTTTACCCCAGGTGAAATAAGTAGTTTTCTCTGTAATTTGGTAATGCAGATTCTTAATGTTGTAATCAAAAAAGACACTTAGATTTAAAAAAGGCATATGCTATTCACAAATATTCAGCTCTTTAAAACAACCAGCAAACCCTACAAGAGAGTTTATGGAAATAACCAACTTACCCAACCCTTCCTCTTCCATTTAATTTAATTTTACCATTATTTTAAACTGCAGGCTTACCAGTGATTCTGCTTGCGTTTTTCATGGCACGACATATTCAACTAGCTGTCTCTGTACTTTCTGCTTGGCCAAAGGTTTTTAGATACATCTTCAAATTTCAAGTCAATTATAGATTATGAGCTGAATAAATCCAGCAAAGACTTAAGTGCTGTGAAAAGGTGGTTGCATGACCTCAGAAGTCATTGTTTTTTCTAGAGTTCCTAAAAATAGTGATACTTAAAATTGATTCTGACCATGAGTGCCAGTAGTCAGCAGTGTTGCATAAAGACCATGGCTTACTGGTGTTAAAACATTTTGTATTTTGTTTTGTGTGTGTGTAAAATAGTGAATGATTTACAAGATAAGCTGCTTCAAAGTGAGACTTGCCACAGGGAAGCCTTACAGAAAATAGTAGAACTAGAATCTGCATTACAGAATGCCCATGGAGAAATAAAAATCACTTTAACACAGCTTCACGAATTGCAAGATGCATTACAGAATGCACAGTCCTCCCTGGAGAAGAAGCATGTTGCTATCATGGATCTAACAGCTGAGCTCAGGTAAACTGACATCTTTTCCCTTTTGAAAACATAGTTGTGTTTAGTTTTTCCTCAGGACTAGCAAGTAGTTTGGATGGTCTTTTTTTCTATCAGCTTAGCAGCTCTCTGTAATTTTTAGGTGGTTTGTGGCTGTAAGATAACTTGATACAGTTGTTCCTCAGATCAATTTATAAAAGTGGTGCTGAATTTTTTTAAAATTCTGTTTTTAAGTCTGCTAAAATTATTTTCTGAATCCCAAATTTGTGAAATAATTGTAAGAGGAATTACCTTTTTTTATAGTGAAACTGTCCGGTTTATGTTCTGACCATAAACTAACAATATACTTTTCTGTACTATTCTTTTTTTAAGAACATGTTGTCCTGATAACCAATTAACTTGAATAATGAAGTTACTGGGAAATTTCCACCTGGAATACAGTTAACAGAATTATTCCATTTGGGTTTGTTTCTTTGTAATCGATTAGTTGATTCATGTCTTAGAGTAATTTGGCTTTAAGCAATAGATCTCATGATTTTCAAGCTGGATACTTGAAGTTAAGCAGTTGAGTGTGCATTATGCAGTTAAACATATGAGAATTTCAGGTATTGCAAGGGAGAAATTGAAGACAAAAAACAAGAACTCCTTGACATGGACCAAGCATTGAAAGAAAGGAATTGGGAACTAAAACAAAGAGCAGCTCAGGTCAGATTAATTTAAATATATATTAAATATATGTTAATGACAATTATTCCTGTTATGTAGTAGATAAATCTGGCAGGCTTTTTGTAAGTTAATCCCCTTCACATATTATTCCAAACTGTGATGTTAATATAGCCACAGTGTCAATCTCAAAACAGCTGTATGTTATTGAAGTGTTATGATATCAAGAAAATTGGGTTGCGCTCCCCTAAAGGACCACAGACTTGGGTTTTGATAGAACAGAAGCCTTGTGCAAACCTGTCCCATAATTATTCCTTGGTTATAGGACAACTGCCATCTGGATGTTTGAGAAAACAAGGGAAAGATCGGCACTGCAGTGTGCTTGGAGATAATAGATTCCTTGTTTGCACTGGAGCATATTTGGTTAGCACTAAAGCAGCCTCTAAATATGAAACAGTATCATTGTTGTGAATACATTTCTGTAGTTCATGTGAAATATTTTCAGTCTTTTGGTCTAGCTTCAGGATTTGATACCCATCATGGAAAAACTAATCTTCTGTCACTTATAATTAGCCTTCCAATAGCTACTTCCTGCAGGAGTTACCAGCCTGTGTATGTAAGAATATTTGAGGTTTAGGGAGAAGGGAGGGGTGGGGATTTAAAAAATAAACAAACAAACCAACCTCCCAAAACAAAACTGTTGGAGGAAGTGACACCGTAAGGAGGCCAGACCTTTCAGTGTAGTCTTGCTGCAGTGCCCTGTGAGCTGCAAAGGTTGCGACCTAAAGCAATAGGTTGGGTTTTTGGTTTTTTTTTTTCTTTGGCAAAATTTGGCATTTTCTAACAAGATGGATTAGTATAATAAGTTACTCATTGCTTTCTGTTTGAAATGAAAACTAGGCCTATATTCTGTGTATTGGAGGGCTTTTTCCCAATATTCCCCTTTTCTCTTTGTGTTTGGCCCCTTTTGTTTAAACAAGATAGTTAGGGTGCATTTTTATTTGCTTAAGAGAATATTCTTGAGACTACAAAGGATTAGTGTCATGCGTTTTGCTATCATATTTTATAGTATTACTTAATCTGTGTACTAGTTCAAAATTAATTATTTTCCTTCTTTTTTTACCTCTAGATTACACAATTGGATATGACCATCACTGAACATAGGGGACAAATGGAACAAAAAATAATTCGATTAGAGTGCAACTTAGAGAAGTCAGAGTTGAAAATTAAGGAATGCAATAAACAGGTAATTTTAGGTAATTTTTTAAACCCAGTCTCCAGCTAATTCTATGGGAAAGTCTGGTCCTGTGACACATTAGCCAACCAGGTTTAATCTAGAAGAGTAAAACAAGTTCTTTACTGTAGGAAGAGAGGAAGGGAGTACCTTAACATACCAGCAAAAATATTTTTGTCAATTAAAACTAAAAATTTTGCAGGGATATACCAGTATAAAACTGAAAATGTGGTTTTTTTTTTTTTTTTTACTTGATATAACTCTGAAACCACTTTTAACAAAGGAAAATGTTGAATAAGAAATATTTACGTAGTCCATTGTTGGAGGTAATACTGATGGTATTTGTGAGTGACTGCGTGTGGGTTTTCTTAAATTGCTACGATTTCAGTGAAATATCTGTTCAGATTTAATTGCCTTTTCTGTTCAGATTGAGAGTTTAGAGAAGAAACTCCAGCATTCTAAAAATGAGCTTCGTGAAAAAGAGTTTGAATTGCTCCAGAGAGATCAAGAAATAAATCAGTTGAAGAAAAAAACCTGAAAGAAGCCATCAAAGCCTAGAAGCTCTTGAAAAGGTAAAATGTTCCTTGGATACACAACAAATATAAATTTTTAATGCCATTCCCATAATTGCCTAGAAGGATCAATACAGTGTCTCTTCTCCCCAGGTAATTGTATTTTCTGTCCTGGTGTTTCCTGAATCTTAATTCATTGAAGTTAAGCCAGTTTAATGATTTTAAAATTACAAATTTAATGGTACGCTCTTAATTGTCTGCTTTGTGAAGAAATTTGAATATTGATTATCTTTCATAACCTGATGTTCTGGCTGTGGACATGGTAGTCTTTGAAATGAAACGACGTTGTATGATGAGAGCTTCTATGACCCATATTATGAAAATAACTGCATCTAAAGAGCGCCGAGATCCAGCATGCTTATAGAAGTGAGAAGAGCATTGTTTTGCACAGTGAACGGGAGCATACAGCTAGAGAAGGTAGCTCATTTTACTTCGTGAGTGCTACAGGGCTTTGGTTTGGGGCATGAATCCGTCACTCCAAGTACAAATGCATTCTGAGATAACCAGGGTTTCTGCAGAAAATAAGTTCGTTAAGAGACGCTGGCCAGCTACAGGCAAACACCAACACTGAAATAGCTCCTGCCATTTTGATTATCCTGCATTTGTGTGGTGTTCTTTCCCTGGAGAATCTCCTGTGTAGTCACCAAAGGCATTTGATCTGCACTCCAGATAAGGGGGGCTTTGCTATGTGGCAGCTGAACATGGAGGTTGTTTCACTGCAGAGGAAGGCAATGTCAGCTCTCCCATCTTGATCTCTGTTCAACGTTATTCTGGCAGTCGAGAACAAGACAGTGCCTGCTGCTGTCCTTCACACACATCATTAACATATTTCCAACTTTTCCTAAGACTCTGGGGATGGTTCTGAAGGAAGGGATTTCCCTGTACAACTTTTGACTAGACCCTTCCTTTCCAGACAAATTGCCTTATTTTTCTAAGGAAAATCAGTTAGAGGGAGGCCCAAGAATGACATTAGAAAGGCTTTGAAAATAGACCTATCCCAGTCATGTTCCTTAAGAGACCTGGGATGAAAGAAATTAAATTTCAAGTTTATTTTCACTGTATTTAAGTAGAATAAACAATAGATTTCAGAAGCATTCTGCATAAAATATGAAGTATTTAGCAGGGGGGTTCTGGCTCCACTTAAGGTTGTGGTGTGGTTGCTTCTTTGTTTAAAAGATGTGTACATTAACATGATGTAAGAAAATGCTTCCTCCATTAGTAACACGTTGCAGACTGATAGACCAATCTTCCGTAGAAACCTTCTGTCCTAGATTAGGTAATTGAGTTTTTAGGACTATCTGGGGAAAAGGGGGGTGTGTTTTGCCTGGGAGTATAGTCTCTCTCATTCTTTTTCCTCTTAATACACTGCCTGCCTTGCTTATTACTGGGAATATATTAGTTCTGGAAAGGAACAGTTAAATAGGGTTGATTTCTATCCTGGTCCACTCTGCCCTTTTTTGGACCCATGAAAAAAATCAGGTCACAGATTTTTCAGCTGCATCATTCTTTGTTCTTACTCTGCTTTAATCTGCAGTGAAGACCTTGTAACAATACAGCACTCTGCTACCTTAGAAGTTGTAAGTATTCCAAATAAAGGAACTGGAAGTACCTTGGTGAACATTGAGAATGGCTTTTTCATTTTTTCTGGGAAATTGAAGTTATCTCCTTTATTAAAAAAAAAAAAGCAGATTTGACTTACAGCAAATAAATTTTTTGTTGCTACAGTTTCTTATTGAAATGAGAAATAAAGTTGTTAAAAATGGTAAGTGAAGTAAGAAAAAAATAGTGCTTACAAAGATTGAATTTCATGAAAAGTAATTTTTACAATGTTTTTGTAGAAGTATACATAATATAAAAATAATCGGAAGTTACTGTAGTTATCTTCTATTCATTAGCCATAAGCTTATTATGTGCTACTTAATAGATGTCTATTTATAGCATTTCTCAAAGAATAAGCATCTAGCTAAGTATGAATAGATACAACCCAATCACTTTTATATTTATGTTTAAAAGAAGCTATAATATGGCCTCTGTGCCAAAACATGGCTAATGTAAACCTAGCTGATGTGGAGAGTACACTGGAAGAGACCATTTTGTTGATCACCTAATACTCCTGTTTGGTTTTTTTTCAATAAATGTGCTGTCAAATAATTAGCTCCAGCATGTAAGCCTGTTGTTTAAGGGGCGGAAGGGGGTGGAAGCTACACCTCTAGAAACTAATAAAAAACCCGCACCCAACCCCAAACATATTGTGTTTGCTGCATTTATTTCTGTACACTGTAGAAAATCCAGAATACTTTCATTAATGTTGATAAGATTTTCCTCACTTTGTACTGGCAGAAATCATAGGCTTTTTCTTTTTGATACTTGACACCTTGATAGGGTTTTTGTAAACACTTCTGAATTGTTAGAAACTTAAATTGTTAGGAACTTAAACAAGATATTGCAGTTCAATGTAAAACCTCAAGCCTTACACAGAGGAGTTACTTCAAAAGAAAGTGCTCCTTTAAACTGTACAAAGTCTTTACAAGGATTTGCATATGAAGATTTCTCTCAATATTATGCATAATATTTTTCTCATATGCTAGAAATTATATGTTAAAATTTGTAAATTATTCTGCTTTTGAGAGCAAAAATGCACTTCAATGACAAGAACAGTGGGGGGAACAAGGACACTAGTAACTTCATTTAGGGGGCAGAATTTGAGAAAGAAGCTATGGACTTGAGACCTGAAGCTAGTTTTCTTGAATTTGTAAGGTAAATGTTATGAATTAAAAGTAACACCTTGGCACAAATGGTTTTAGGTACAGTGAATTGAGTGCAGAAGTTTTAAAGGAAGGTTCTGATCAGAGATCTTTTGTTTCAGGGGCAAGAATTGTGAAGGAAGGAACGTTTCCCATTGGAAAAGCAACAACTCAGGAATGCTGTTGCTGACAACATAATTATGCATTCGAGGAGGAAATGTTAACATTGTATTGATAAATAATGTATGTTGTTACTTGTAGTGACAGAAATTACATCCTTTTTATTTTTCCAGCTGTTTTTGAGATTATTGCCTTGATATAATAAAATCTTAATTTATGAGAAATGAATTTTATTTTTTAAGTATCTGGAGTTGCAGGAATTAATTTCAGCTGTCATTTTTTTCCAAGGATTCTAAACCATGTACTTATGTTTCACATCTGTACTGGTTTCAGTCAGGAAGGAGTTAACGCTCTACTGTGGCCGCTAGGAAGCTATGTTCCTGGATTTACACTGAGAGCAGCACTGATAAGTTCTTAGCTAGCACTGGGGAATGCCTGCACTGAATTCAAGGTCTTTCTCCGCTTCTGACACTGCAGCTGCGTTCCCAGCTCTCGCTGTCTCGCTACAGGCAGTGTAGGGGACACACAGTTCAGGCACCTGACCCCAACTGACCAAGGGAGTATTTCATTCCATAGTACGTCATGCTCGGGGCAGAGGTGAGGAGGGGATCCGGTTGCTATTGTGATGTGGCAAAACCCCACTGTTTACTTAGAGAAATAAATTCGTTTTTTGTTTTAAATCAGGTTGTTGCTCTGCATAACACTAAATGCAAATCATTAGAATTAGGTTGACCACTGTAAAAATTGAGAAATATTGAACTACTTTAAGTGAGGAGGGGGTCCGGTTGCTATTGTGATGTGGCAAAACCCCACTGTTTACTTAGAGAAATAAATTCGTTTTTTGTTTTAAATCAGGTTGTTTCTCTGCATAACACTAAATGCAAATCATTAGAATTAGGTTGACCACTGTAAAAATTGAGAAATATTAAACTACTTTGATTTTTTTTTTCCTCTCTTTAGGCAGATAGTTTTCCTTCAGGCTAGAAATCTATGCATCAAACTTCAGACAGATTTTTTTTTTTTTTTTTTTTTAAGCAAAGCAACATGGAAGTGCTTCAAACCAGGATTTCAAGTGGAAAATACACCCGGTCTGTAATTACAGTTGCATCACAACACTAGTGGAATTCTACTAACGCAGTTTGCATAAAGCTTTGCTTGCTCCTCCTACATGAGCTAAATATAAACGTGCATGAGCAGCAAAAGGAATTTGCCTAATATCTGAATCAACTAAGTAGCATTTGCACTAAAATTGTCTATCTCTATGCTAACTTCTCTGGTAAAACTGTGGGTCACACCTAATAAGTAGAATGATAATTACATTTTCTTATTAACTTTAGATGCTGTCTTGCTATTTTGGGACTTTCCTGAGAAGTTAAGGATTCCAGTTGTTACACTGTTCAAGTGAATTTATTTGTTTTGGAAAGGAGGGACCTTTTTTCACCTATCACAACTTCTGTTAAATGTTGCTGCAGAGCCCTACTTCTCTTGAGTATTTGACATCTGTGCAAATCCTGGAACACTGAGTTAATTCATCTGAACTGCATTGTATTAACATGGGTTACTGAATCTTTGAAAACTTTTTTCTATGTATAATGGTAAGGCAACAGGGAAGAAATCCCTTCATCATTCCGTTGCAAAAGAAGAGGTGGGTGCTGTTAAGTGTAGAGTCTGAACAACTTTAGCAGAGGGATCCCATTTTGGGTGCAGTTTACTTTCCATAGACACTGAGTGTAAGACTTCACACTGCAGGCTGATTGTAACTGTGGCAAGGCTTTTCCTGCCAGTAGTGTGCAAACTGGTTATTTCACTATTAAAAAAAATAAAATAAAAATCCATGTAGTTTACAAATGTCTACTTTTAAAATTAATCAAATTCTGGATTAAATACAGTCCATGTTGATAATGCAGATTTTAAGCTCATGCAGGAGCATCTGCTTCTGGTTTTGTCTAGTTGAAGATTATCCCTTAATCATGCAGAGTCCAGGTGTGCATTTCCAGATTTGTTGACTCAGGAAAGCTGGAGATAGCATTAAAGGCCAATGACATTATACTGTAGCTACATTTAGGTTGTTGCTGCTCTGAAGAAGAACTCTTGCTTGAACCACCCAGTGGGAAGAATGGCAAGAAGAAACGTCCTCATTACAGGTTGTTCCTCCGGAATTGGGCTGGCCTTAGCTGTGAAAATGGCAAAAGATGAGCAGAAAAGATTTAAAGGTAATAATGTAGCTGTTACCTATCTTTATGCAAAGCTGTTCTTCAAGGCAGTACTATTTCCCTCCTTGCCTTCATGTAACACGTGATTGTATTGTTTGACTTGTTTCTTGGTAATTTCCCTCTTCCTACTGTCACGAAAATATAATATAGTGAAAATAGACTGCTTTATGTTAGCAGATGTTTCTGTACCTGCAGCTTGAACAGCTGCTTGAACTGAGTAGTTTACCAAAAAAACAGAGTGTCATAAAACCACATAGTTGAAAATGTCTGCATTTGTGTACCTTGGATATATCTTCACGGTTGTAGTTAGCTTCGCTCCTGGCTACTAAAATCTTTGTTGAATGAAACGTACGTGCCTCTGAGGACCAAAGAAATGAAGTTAGGAAAGCAGTTCTTAAATTTGCATCTTTTTCCCTAAAGCATGTATTACTATTCCAATGTATAGGCATAAGAGGGTGAAGAAAGGGGCTGGAATTTGTCTGTGTGCTGCAAAATGGGATAAGTGATGTGATGGACAATGGATGGCAAGGCAAATACAGCCATCTGTAGTCGTTCAGTTTCTCAGAGTCTCATGGTATTTCACTGCTAACTGACTGGATGCAGATTCCTGGTTTTCTGGGTAATTAGGCCACAATAATGATAAAACTTAATTTCTGGTTTGAGAAGTAGCTTGCAACAATAGACATTTTTGCAAACCTAAGGAAGTGTCTTCCACATTTTGATAAAATTATGGGGGTTCAGCTAAACTCCTTGACTGTGATTTAACACTAAAAAAAACCCAAACCAAACCCTACCTGGAATCCAAGATCAGGTTTTAGGTACCTAAAAGTGGTTCAGCGGCATAACTTGATACCCATTATTTAAAGTTTGGGTGATAGTATCATCTTCATATGCTGCATGTTCTTCATGTGCATAGCGGTTTAATTCTCCTGAATTTCTTGAAGATTTCGCAACCAGACCCTGGGAAATCAGTGGCAATATATGTTGAAAACAGATTCATTCTACTTGAAGTTTCTATCTGGGTTCTGTCACTGGCATTTAAGATATGGATGTGAAAGCCAATATTCTGTAATACTTCTCAGTAAGACTGCCACAGAAGAACTTTTATTTCTGATAACTGTTGCTTCTGGTTTGTTGCAGTGTATGCCACAATGCGGAACCTGGCCAAGAAAGAGCCGCTCGAGGAAGCTGCAGGTCGTAGGCTGGGCAAAACCCTTGAAATTAAGCAACTGGATGTCTGTGATGAACAGTCTATTAAAACTTGTGTGAATAGTATCCCTGACAGAAGGATTGATGTCCTAGGCAAGTACAGGATGAGTATACGATGAACAGATACCAGCTGTCTATTTAACATCATGTCGAATACTCTGGAGAAGTTTCATAAGTGTATTTTTAAATTACCCAAGTAATTAATTATTATATAGTGTATTCTGTTCAAGAGTCTTAAGGCTTCATGCAGATATGAGTGAATTTAAATCCCACCATTCTTCTGTGAGGTAGGTAAGTTTGTTTCCCCTGTTTACAAAGGAAGAACTTTATCATGGAGAAGTGTCTTGGATAAGATGATGTAAAGTTTAGTAAATGTGAGAAGAGAACTCTTGCCGAAATTGGCATCTTCATCTACAAGACTTTCTGCCCTGTTGATGAAGCATTGTCTTATTTAAAATGAAGGCAACAGCTCTCTGTGCTAAGAAAGCACCAGCGTTTGGGAATTAGCAAGTAAAAGAACAAATGCAAAGAAAGTAAGGTGTCGTGTACCCAGCACATAAGGGTGAGTTCATTTTGTGTTGAGAAGTGTAATTGTACTTTACAAATCATTCAGGAAGTGCTTTCATATGGTTTTGCTAAAAATAAATATTAATATCTAAATGAGATGAAAATTGCTTACGCTGTCAACTATTAAATCTTCTCTAACAGAAAATTATGGACCTGCCTTTATTTTGATTAATTATTAAAGCACTGCTTAACAAGCTGCCTCTGCTAACGGTATTATACTCTAATTTGACACACTAGTTGTAATGAAGGATGCTGGTTCTATCAATAATTCCCCACTTACAAATATCAAGGAGGCAAATAAAAATCAGTGCAAGCATATGGTTTGTTGTCTTCTCTAACAGAAAATTATGGACCTGCCTTTATTTTGATTAATTATTAAAGCACTGCTTAACAAGCTGCCTCTGCTAACGGTATTATACTCTAATTTGACACACTAGTTGTAATGAAGGATGCTGGTTCTATCAATAATTCCCCACTTACAAATATCAAGGAGGCAAATAAAAATCAATGCAAGTATATGGTTTGTTGTGTGTTTGGGGTTTTGTTTGTTTGTTTTTTTTAAAGATGTGAACGTTAAAAAAACAAAAAGCAGATGAAAATATGGCCAGGTCTATCACCTTTTGGAATAAATTGAAGAATTCTCTTAATTCCTGTGGGTATTGACTGTGGCCTTTAATTTTTAATACTGAATTATGAACAAATATAGGTAATTTCTGGCTTATTTCCCTGTAATACATTTAAGGAAAAAGCACTAATCAGAATTAAATTAGTCAAAATGCAAAATATCAGATAATCGAAATTGGATTAAAAATACAATATGGAAATGGCAAGTATATTTGCAAAGCTTTTATGACAGAATAACGTCTTTTAATTCTTTCTTTAAGGATTATTTAGGGATCATTTAATCCTTAATCCTTATTGTACTTTCAAATGCTTTCCGGTAAAGATTACAAGTGAATGTTTACAGAGGTTGTTGCTCACTGTTCTCTTCCGTTTTCTGTAGTTAGCAATGCTGGCATGGGGCTCATTGGACCTATTGAATGTCAGACCATAGAAGAGATGAAAACTGTGATGGATACCAACTTCTTCGGACTGGTTCGACTCCTGAAGGAGATTTTGCCTGACATGAAGAGGAGAAAGAGCGGGCATATAGTTATAATAAGCAGCGTTATGGGAATACAAGGCAAAGTTGATGTTATTTTTTGGGGGGGTGTGGGGTTGGGGGGTGTGTGTGTGTTTGAACTAAGACATCAGCATTCAAAATCTAAAGCTTACCTCCTTTTATTTGGGAAAAAAAAAAGGCACAGCACTTAGATCTGATGATTTTAATGCATCTAGATAGTCTGTTACTGCATGACTACTCAAGACATTCTAACAACAAAACCTGCAGAGTGACATTTTTTTAAAGCATTTTAACTCAAACTCCTAATTACTTAGTTTTAAAACATTTAATTATCTGGAAAACAGGGTTGTGTAGCATTATGTCTCTCTTTCCTATTGGAAAAGATAATAGGGATGGTCAAGTATGTTTACTGTGCTCTGCACAATAATAATGGAATAAAATCCAATTATGTCCTGGACAACTATACCACCTTTTTGTAAAGTTTCTCGTCTTAGAAAACTCCAGAGTCTCATTTTACCGACAGATAATGAGGCTCCTACTCCTGTGTTCCGTCTGGTCTAGCTGTATTGGTTTTGAGTATTACACAGTGGCATTGATCTTACTTGGATTATTCTGGTGAGCGAGGGTCCTAAGGCAAACTTCAAGGGTTGTTATGGTTTAATAGAGTACTTAGCATCCACCTAAATGGAACGATGTAGTACTTTTTCTGAATCACTGAGATGGAACACGGATCTCTTGGGTAACCGACTCTCCTGCACAGCACTCAGCTTGGTGTTCATCTGTGGCCTATCCAAGTCTTGCTGATAAACAGCGCAGATGGCATTGTGTGTACAGACACTTCGTATCCCGTGCTACAAAATACTGAGTATCATCCCAAGAGATCACAGCATCTGCTAGGAGGAGAAAAAGCATTAGTCAAGCATCCTTTCTTAGAATGAGCAACTTTGAGAACATATTCAAAACCTCAGTATTTAGACTCAGTATACACAAGGAATTTTCTAATGTTTTCCCAGCAAGACTGCAGATATTTTGGGGAAAATACAAGAGGTTTTAAAACTGAAGTATTAGTATGCTGGATACAATCCCATTCTTAGGATGCCTGTGTGTCTTTGCACCATCAGGTATCTTGTTCAACGATGTTTATGCAGCGTCTAAGTTTGCTGTGGAAGGATTTTGTGAAAGTTTGGCTATACAAGCGCTCAAGTTCAAACTGCAGTAAGTATTGATCCACTGGTGTAAACTCTATGTTAGATAGTTTTAAATGTAACAGAGCTAGCAAACAATCTTTTTAAAGCTTGCTGCTATCTCGGAGAAACAGACTGAGGAACCCATGTAACTTGTACGTCACAAACGGCGTAGCAATGTTCGTGTTCTTCACGCTACGTAAATAAACAGATCTAGATGCAAAAATAAACATGTTCTCTTGAACAGTTATAGGATGTTTCGCTTTGGATGAAATACAGTTTAACACTTCTGAAAACAGATTTTTGCATACAGTATCAGAGGAATAAAATTATAATATCAACGTGTAATACTTTCCTTTAGAAAGGATGTCAAACTTGGGCAATTCACAGATAAAAAGTTCAAGGCCTCATCACAGAGCGAGAGCAAGTGGAAATCCATCAGAACGGAACATAGGGTGAGGGAACTGTAATGACAGGAGGTGGGAGGAAAGTGAAAAGAATGTGGCATACTACTTCTTAATGGTATTTAAGAACTGTGTATAAGAATGATCCTATTCATTATCTGTGGGACTTTGGGGTTTGATTTGCCACACGTGCATTCCCATTTGTGCAATTCTGCTGTTATTCTTTGTGAAGTCCAACAATTGTTAAATATACATTGGAGTCTGGGTGCCTAAGCATGTAGGCCTTGTGCTGCGGGGGAAGACGGCTGCTGTCGTGGGATTTCAGAGACAAAGCAGCATCCAAACGGTAATTTTGCATACCGCTCAGAAGTTTGGAGGGATCTAAAAGAAATACATTCTAATGATAGGCAGGATATACTAGAGTTCATAAGGAGATTTCAAGAGTATAAGATACAGCAAAAAGGAGGTTAAAAAACAAAGTAGAATGGGAAAAGTTCAAGGTCCAGTGTGAAGAGCGATGCAAGAGGGCAGGCTTTTAATTTCCTCAGCAGCTGGAATTCTGCTGTCAAGGTCAATTGCCTGATTTAGTTTTAAAGAAGAGCCTGGTGAGAACTCAGGTCTAGAAAGAGGTCCCATCCCAAAGAATGTTTTGATTCCCTCTTCAATATTCTCTTTTGAGAAGGATAGAGAGGTGTATTTCCAACGGAGGATTGTCAATAACCAGTATATCTTTGTGTTTTGAACAGGTTAAGTTTGATTGAACCAGGCCCAGTGGTTACAGAGTTTGAAAGAAAAGTGTTTGAAGATGGAATGAAAATGGATCTTTCGGCTGCAGATGAAGAAACAGCTGAGATGTTTACTAATATTTACCTTAAAAATTACAAACAAATTTTCCAGAGCCTGGGACAAAGTGCTGAAGATGTTGCAGAGGTAACTCATAAACAATTCTCCATCTTCTTTTTTCTTGGTTGGGTGGGGGTTTTTTGGGCGTTTTTGTTTTTGTTTTTTTGTAATTTACAATTGCACTGGTTTGGTGGGTGTTTTTTTAGTAGAAATATTAGAGTGCGCTGTTCGATCCTTCCCAATGAACTGTAAAAGAAAGGATCTACCTGTTGTGATGTCATGGTTTAGCCCCAGTAAGCAATCAAGTACCACACGGCCACTCGCTCACCTAACCCACTCACCCCCAGTAGGATGGGGGAGAGAATTAGAGGAAAAAGTTGAAGAGAACTTGTGGGTTGAGGTAAGAGTAATTTAATAATTGAAAGAAAGTGAACTAAAACAGTTACACTAATACTACTACTATGTAAAGAAACTACATAATAATAATAATAATAAAACAAAAAAGGAGAAACGGAAGGAAACCAAAATGATACAACCCCTCGCCACCACGAACCACTCAGCCAGTTCCTGAGGAGCAATTTCTCCCAGCCAACTCCCCCAACTTACTGAGCGTGACATGAGATGGCATGAAATGTCCCTTAGGTCAGTTTGGGTCAGCTGTCTGGGCTGTGTACCCTTCCGGCTTCCTGTAGAGAAGCAGCTGGGAATACAGGTGCTGTACTGGAAACTGAGAGTCCTTGACTCTGTACAAACACTCCTCAGCAACAACTAAAAGTGTTAGTGTTACCAATATTCTCCTCAGCCTAAATCCAAAACATTGCCTTGCATAAGTCCCAAAGACAGCCTCATACAGCTGCTGTGAAGAGAATTAACTCTGTCCCACCCAAAACCAGCACATGTGGGGTCATTGGCATAATTTTGGAGGTCTATTCTGTGGACTGTTCTTTGGAGGATTACGTAAGGTCCATGGTATAGATAAACAGAACTAGGTCTAAGAATAGATAAGTAGTACTTCTTATGGCCTTAAAAATATTTTAAGAAAAAATTCTACTGAAATTCTAGTAAACCTACATACAGGGTTTTAGATCATTTTAGCACTTTTTTTTTTGACTTCTCTGCTTAACTGAAAACTAGGTTTTTACTTTACTGCTTTGGTAAAGGTTCTGTACCAATTCTATTTCTCATTCTTGACAGCATACAGTAAAGATAATTCTTGCAGAAAATCCACCTTTTCGCCATCAGACCAACACGTTGTACACTCCAATGACAACTCTGAAATACGCGGATCCAAATGGAGATCTACCCATTGATATATTCTACAAAATGGTTTTTCATCATGACAAAATCTTCAGTGCAAGTCTTAACTTTATCAAATTGCTACGATGGAGAAGTAGAAAGAGCTTTGACCTGGGAAAACCCTCACAATGAGATGATGTAGTGCTAATAGGAATTACTTGTTACAGCCACGGATAACACAGTATGTTGTTATTAAAATGCATTTGCTCTGTAGTTGTGAGAAGGCATTCAAGATGTTTATTTGGGCTTAGCTAAGATATTCAGCTCAAGGCGTTTATCTGGAACTTTGCAGTTTGCAGAACCCTGAAATTAAAACCCTCTAACTATAGGTTTATTCTGTTTTAGTGTTCGCTTTTTACAGAGGTCTGTTGTCATGGGAACATGAACATTGATAACTTGCATATTTAATGTTAACCCAGTCTCCTTCACTTACTAGAATATAATACATACTGAGATGTGTACTGTATGTAAATTATCGAGATTCTTAAAATATTTTTTATATTATCTTTTTACTTAATGGAACTAGTATAGTAATCCCTCAATCACAATAGCATTCTCATTTTTCAGAAATCAGGTCTACTTCCCAGTAACAGAAGAGAAAGTCTCCTTCATCTTAAAATGTCACAGCCAGAATATTTATTATATATATGCTATAGTATTCTGAATGCTTTCTTTGTATGGAATTGTTACTGGCATTATTACACAGTGGACAATAAAATGTTTTTAAAAGCATCTAAAAATAAAGTATCTTCTTATTCAAAAGCATCTCAAAATAAAAAATAAAAAAAAAATCTTACTCTCTTGGTACTATTTTTTTTCAAAAATACTAATGGTATTTTGTTAAGAACTGAATCTACTAAGTGCCTCCAATGCCTTGAGGGGCTGAAGCTGAGCCGCAGGCTCTGTGTTTTCAAGCCATCCTACAAGTCATCTGGAGCTAAGCTGGGGGGG